TGAACAACTATTGGGCCAATGAAGAAAACAAAGGAGAAATAAAAAAATATCTGGAGACAAATGAAAATGAAAATATGACATGCGAAAATTTGTGGGATAGAGCAAAGCGGTTCTAAGAGAGAAGTTTATAGCAATACAGCCATACTTCAACAAACAAGAAAAACCTCAAATAATGAATCTAACAGTGCACCTAAAGGAACTGGAAGAAGAACAAACAAGTTCCAAATCAGTATAAGGAGGGAAATAGTAAAAATCAGAGCAGAAATACACGAAATAGAGACTTAAAAAAAAAAGAAAGAAAAAAATAAATGAAACTAAGAGGGGGTTCTTTGAAAAGAGAAATATAATTGGCAAACCTTTATCTAGACTCATTAAGAAAAGAAAAGAGATAGTTCAAATAAATAAAATCAGACACAAAAGAGGAGAAATTACAATGGACATCTCACAAAAAATTGTAAGAGAATACTATGAAAAATTATATGCCAGCACATTGGATAATCTAGAAGAAATGGATAAATTCTTAGAATCATACAACCTTCCAAAACTGAATCAAGAGGAAATACAGAATTTGAATAGACAAATCACCAGTAAGGAGATAGAAACAGTAATCAAAAACCTTCTAAAAAATAAAAGTCCAAGACCAGATGGTTTCCCTGGTGAATGCTACCAAACATTCAAAGAACATTTAATACCTCAAACTCTTTCTCAAACTCTTCCAAAAAATCGAAGAGGAGGGGAAGCTTCCTACTTCATTCTAGGATACCAACATCACCCTGATACCAAAACCAGACATGGACAAAACAAAAAAAGAAAATTACAGGCCAATATCACTGATGAACTTCGATGCAAAAATCCTCAACAAAATAATAGCAAATCAAATACAATACACTAAAAATATCATACACCATGATCAATTGGGATTTATTCCAGGGATGCAGGGATGATTCAATATCTGCAAATCAATCAACATGACACACTACAGTAAAAATGGCATGATCATCTCAATAGATGCAGAGAAAGCATTTGACAAGATTCAGGATACACTTATGTTAAAAACTCCAATAAAATGGGTATAGCAGGAAAGCACCTCAACATGATATAGGCCATATATCACAAACCCACAGATAATATCACACTCAATGGAGAAAGACTGAAATCTATCCGTTTAAGAACAGGAATCAGAGAAGCATGCCCACTCTCACCACTCTCATTTAACATATTGGAAGTCCTAGCCAGAGCAATCAGGCAAGGAAAAGAAGTAAAAGGGATTGAAATTGGAAAGGAAGAAGTGAAATTGTCACTATTTGCAGATGACATGGTTTTGTATGTGGAAAATCTTATGGAATCCACCAAAAAGCTTTTAGAAATAATAAATGAATACAGTAAAGTTGCAGGGTACAAAAATCAGCTGGATTTCTACACATTAACAACGAAGTAGCCGAAAGAGAAATTAAGAATATAATCCCATTTACAATTGCAACAAAAATAATAAAATATATGGGAATAAACTTAACCAAAAAGGTGAAAAATCTATACACTGAAAACTATAAAACATCGTTGAAAGAAACTGAAGAAAACACAAAGGAATGGAAAGATATTCTGTGTTCTTAGATTAGAAGAATTAACGTAGTTAAAATGTCCATACTTCCTGAAGCAAACTATAGATTCAATTCAATCCCTATGAAAGTTCCAACAATATTTTTCACACAAATAGAACAAAGAATCCTAAAATTTATATGGAACCACAAAAGACCCAGAATAGCCAAAGGAATCCCAAGAAAAAAGAACACAGCTGGAGGTATCACACTCCCTGATTTCAAAATATAGTACAAAGCTATACTAATCAAAACAGCATGGTACTGGCACAAAAACAGACACACACATCAATGGAACAGAATCCAGAGCCCAGAAAGAAACCTATACATCTACAAAGAGCTAATTTTCAAAAAGGGATCCAAGAACATACAATAGAGAAAGGAAAGTATCTGCAATAAATGGTGTTGGGAAAACAGGACAGCCACAAGCAAAAGAATGAAAGTAGACTAATATACCATACATAAAAATTAACTCAATATGGATTAAACATTTGAATGTAAGACCTGAAACTATAGAACTCCTAGAAGAAATTATAGACAGTACATTCTTTGACGTTGGTCTTAGCAGCATATTTTCAAGTACCATGTCTGACCAGGCAAGGAAAACAATAGAAAAAATAAACAAATGGGACCATATCAAACTAGAAAGCTTCTGCACAGCAAAGGAAACCATCAACAAAACAAAAAGAAAACCTAACAATTGGGAGAAGATATTTGCTAACCATATATCTGATAAGGGGTTAGTATCCAAAATATATGAAGAACTCATACATCTCAACAACAAAAAAAACTAAGAACCCAGTAAAAAAATGGCCAAAAGAGCTGAACAGATACTTTTCCAAAGAAGATATACAGATGGCCAACAGGCACAGGAAAAAATGTTCAACATCACTAATTATTACAGAAATGCAAATCAAAACTACAATGAGAGATAACTTCACACCTGTCAGAATGGTTATAATTAACAAGGCAGGAAATAACAAATGTTGGAGAGGCTGTCAAGAAAATGGAACTCATACACTGCTGGTCTGAATGAAAACTGGTAGAATCACTATGTAAAACAGTATGGAGATTCCTCAAAAAATTAAGAATAGAACTAACAAATGATCCAGATATTCCACTGCTGAATATTTATGCAAAGAATATGAAAACACAAATGTATAAAGATATATGCACCCCAATGTTCATTGCAGCATTATTCACAATAGCCAAGAGTTGGAAACAACCTAAGTGCCCACCAAGGGACGAGTGGATAAAGAAACGGTGGTATATATACATGATGGAATACTACTCAGCCATAAAAAATGATGAAATCTTGCCACTTGTGACAACATGTATTGACCTTGAGGGTATTATACTAGGTGAAATAAGTCAGAGGGAGAAAGTCAAATACCATATGATCTCACTCAGAAGTAGAAGATAGTAAGAACAGCCACCACAAACAAACACATAGAGACAGAGATTACATTGATGGTTACCAGAGGAGAAAGGGGAAAGGGACAAGGGTAAAAGGGGTGAAGGGGCACACGTGTGTGGCGATGGATCGTAATTATTCTTTGGGTGGTGAACATGATGAACTCTACACAGAAATTGAAATATGATGTACACCTGAAATTTATATAATGTTGTAAACCAATGTTACCTCAATAAAAAATAAATAAAATTAAAGGACATTTACCAAAATGAAAGATGTGGTCTCAGGAGGCCTGCTGCGTAGACTCCTCTATGGGTCACTGGTAAATCCGAGATTAAAGAGATTGGGGATTCAAGTGATTATGTGGAAGGCTGGTTGCTGAATCTGAATTCAGAATAAAGTATGTCATGTAGTTCTGAAGGTTATGTTACCCTGGCCAAGGTGTAGTGTGGTAAATTGCCCTTGCCTGTCACATAATTTCTTTAGTGACCGGAATATTTATACACATAGACATACTGCAGATTCTCTCCACATGACACCAGAGAAACACTACAGAAGATTAAACATTGCCCCCCAATATTCCCTTTGAAAATATTTCGTAGATCATCTCCTTTTGGTTTACATGCACTTACTTTAGATAGATTCCATTAAAATTACTTGTTTGCACTTTTTAGGATATAATCATGTTCTAATCTTGTCTTTTCTGTCAACTGGATTGGATTTGGAGTGTTTAAAAAAGCCTTTCAGCAATCAAACATGGGTAGATATTTCCTTGTGCTGAGTTTTACTTATTACTGATCTTATTCATCATTTAAAATCATGCTTTCATTGTTTCAATTGTTCGTAGCCTCATTACTAAGATCACTAAGATTTATTTTTAGATCACCCTGTTGTTACTTTTGCTAAAATTAGCAGATGAATAAGGATAGTAATAATAATAATGTCAATAATAACAATAATGATGTCAAAATAAACTGTTCATTTGTCACTGGGCTCAGTTCTTTATGTATATTATTTTTTCTTTACATATATTGTCATTACTCCTCTGTCCCTAGCACTAGAACATTGCAGGTACACAGTTGATGCTCAATAAATATTTCTCCCACGACTGAGACAGAAGCAGGGTTGGGAAAGAGTGACCTGGGCCATGGTGGTGGGTGAAATGGCAAACAGCAAAGATGAGGTTTCAGGAGAGTGGAGACAGGTAGAGGATTCCAATAGCTAAGCACGGGCCAGTGAGTAGCGATTTCATGTGAGGCTGGTTAAACTTGCAAAAGTGGAGAGAGGAGATAATTGAATTCTTACAAAGACCTTATATTGTGTAGTTCTGTTTCAGGAATTTCCCTCTTGGGAGGAGTCCTTCTCCGGTTTTCCGAATTGCTTTGATCCAGTATTGTGTATATCAAGGGATTGTCTGCCTCTTTCGGTGTCATCCCCACTCCATCCCCATCAGTTCTCTGTCAGGTTCCAGGATCCAAGAACTCTTGCCTGTAGAACTTTGCTTTTCTCGCCATCTGGGTCTGGATTTAAACCCCGATATGTTCTCCCAAATCCTGTAACCTCCAGGTCAGCAGTGTTGCTTGCTGGGTCGACCCTGTTTCCGTTCTTTAGGAAGCAGCTCAGACACAGGCTCAGTTTTATTCTAGGGTTGCACGATATAAGGTTTCAAATTTTCTACTTTCAAATCTTTCACGGGAACGGGGTTGGAGACAGATGGTTCGGGGGGTCTCCTCCTGACTTCTTAGCCCTCTTCTGTCATAGGCTTCCCTACCGGAAACCCTGGCCTGAGGACTGGAATGGGTGCAGATATGAAATACTTGATGCCCCCTTGGGTGCAGGAGGGGGCGCGAGAAAGGATCCAGGCCCGGGAAGATCTCGGATTAGGTTTGCAGCCAAGCCTGGGGCGATTGAAACAGTGTGTGTCACCTTGGAGATAGGACTGGCCTGCGTGCTCGGCTGCCATTGGCTGGGGGCCTCCGGGCTGGGGATAAGCCAGCGCCGAGGGGACAGCGCGCTAAGCGTGCGGCCCTGACAGGCGGCGGCAGCTCAGCTCAGCGGAGCAGATCGCGGCAGCGAAGGGCGGGCTTGTCTAGAGAACGTCGGCGGTTCCATGGAAACCCAGTGAGGCGGGCACCAGGCCGGGGGAACCCTGGCGGCCCCTGGGGAGGGGAAATGGCTGTCACCAAGACCTGGAAACCCGGCTGTGGGCCCTGAGGGAGCCGGGAAAGGGAGAGGGCGCCCTGGAGCTGCTGCGAGGCCTAGCAAGGAACCCGGGGTCAGGGTCAAGGCTCAGAGCCGTGGGGCAGCCGGCGCCGGCAGGGACACACGCGGGAATGGAGCCAGGGTGGCGCCAGTGGAGCAGGAAGGGGACAGGTTGGTAGAGTGTAGTGTACTCCGAAAAGAAGCCAGTGTGTTTTTGTGTGAGTTGGGGGTGTAAGTCTAGAGGGGGGCATACCCCCATCCCCCAATATAGGGCGAAAATCTTCCCACTGCACGTGCTCTTCACAGATTCCCATTCTAGAGACCAGGTAAATCCACGAGGTAGTTTTGGGGCCCAAATCTAGAGTTCCTCCTTCAGAGGAGAGATTGCTCAGGTCCCTTGCCAACACCTCCCTTCCCGCCAAATTGGAGGTCCAATTGAGTTGGGGACAGAGTCTCCAAGGAGAGAAGGAAACCCTTATTCCATGACCCGGGCACCAGACCCTGCCCACTTGCCCGACTCCCCTCTTACCTTTGAAAACCTTTTTCTCTGCTTTGGTCCCGGAAATGCCACTCCAAGTCTCTAGTGTTAGGCATCGCAATGGCTTTTGGATGCTCAGGGCCCCAGGTTGTCCTCAGGGCACTAATGGCCAATGAAGAAGTCCTATGGCTGTGGCTAGAAATGCTAGGTGACTATGGCTTCACACTTCCTTCATTTCCTTTGCACCTCTTGGGGATGCTGTTTGATTTACTTCTTACCGTTTGGTGGTTTCTCTTCTCCATCGTCCTGTGGTCCCGGCTCTGTTTTTCCTGCCCCTGTCCCTTACTCAGCTACTTCCCTGAGGGAAGCCTGGTGTATTGTGGACTGATTTGGTTTCAAAGGCTCTGCTTTTGAAGGAAAGAATTTCCTCTGGAGGCTTGGTTAGCTGTGTTCATGGGTGTGAGAGAATTGGACTGGAATTGTGAGAAAAATTCTAGATAGATTCTTGGGATGTATGGGTTCTGGATGAGTGTATGTCCTTAAGTCTCTGAAAGGCAAAGACCCTTGGTGAAGAGAAGAGAAGATGGGAGACGGCAGGGAGAAGAATAGAGACAAGGGGGAAAATGGGAGCAGCTTCAAGTGCTGGGGGCCTGAACCAATGATTTATGGAGTCATGGATCATTGGAGCTTGTTAGCAAGTTTTTAATTCATTTTCAAATTGAACCTCTAAGATAGGCGGTACTGATTACATTCCCTTTGTTTATAGCTGAGGAAAGTATTTGAAGCATGAGTTATTTGCCTAAAAAGACAAAATTGGGACTCAAGTCCAAGTTGAGCTCTCCTTACCTCTAGACCAGAAATTCCTAAATCTAGTTTTTGAATCAGAATTAACTGAGGCACTTTTGTAAAAAATACAGATTCTGGAGTCTTTCTCCAGAATTATGAATCCGGAGGGGTGGGCTCCAGAATCCATTTTTAACAAGCTGCTGTGAGAAATCTGTGCAGTTGGTTCTGCTCCAGTGCTGAAAACCAGAGTGTGAATGGAATCTGCTTTTTTGTGGGGTAGCTTGTCTTGTCCAGGCTTGAATTACCCCTGGCAATTCCATATGACAGGGCTCTGTGTGTGTCTGGGGATCCCGCAAAGAAGGGTCCAATTGAACTGACATGTAGACCTCCACTAGGAGTGTTCCTATGGCTCTCTTTGTCAATCAAAAAATTTAGCCCTTAGTATTTGTCTGAGGGAAGAGCTAGAGGGTGTCAGTCCAGAAGGAAATTGGATTTATTCCTTCCCCTCAGGTTAGTTAGTCTTAATTATGTTTTGAGTGTTCTGAGCAGGCAGGTATGGTACTAAGATGGGTGGTAGTAGGAAGGTCTTAGTCCCTTTCTGAGTGTACTCCTGGGCCTGCCTCCTCAGGCCCTGCACTTTTGTTGTTGTTGAGTTCATAATAGTTTACATCATTGTAAAATTTCAGTTGTGCATATTTACTTATCTATCACTGTATGAGTGCTCCCCTTCACCCCCTGTTCCCTCCCCCAGGCCCCTTCCCCTGGTAACCATTGAACTGTTTTCTTTGTCCATGTGTTTTTTTATCTTCCACATATGAGTGAAATCATATGATGTTTTTCTTTCTCAGTCTGACATATTTCGCTTAACATAATACCCTCCAGGTCCATCCATGTTGTTGTGAATAGGACGATTTTGTCTTTTTTATGGCGGAGTAGTATTCCATTCTATATATATATGTGCCACAACTTCTTTATTCAGTCATTGGTCAGTGGGTACTTGGGTTGCTTCCATGTTTTTGCTATTGTGAATGGTGCTACAATGAACATAGGGGTTCATAAGTCTCTTTGGATTATTGATTTCAAGTTCTTTGGATAGATACCCAGTAGTGGGAAACTTAGGTCATGTGGTATTTCTATTTTTAATTTCCATATTCTTTTCCATAGTGGCTGCACCAGATTGTATTCCTGCCAGCAGTGAATGAGGGTCCCCTTTTCTCCACAACGTCCCCAACCTTTTGTTTGTTTGTTTGTTTGTTTTAGTGATTATAGCCATCTTATCAGGTGTAAGGTGATATCTTAGTGTAGTTTTGATTTACATTTCCCTGATGATTACTGATGTTGAACATGTTTCCATGTGCCTATTGGCCATCTGTAGATCTTCTTTTGAAAAATGTGTGTTCATATCCTCTGCCCATTTTTTGGTCAAGCTGGGTTTTTTTTGTTGTTCAGTTCTGTGAGTTCCTTATATATTATGGAGATTATCACCTTGTCGGATATATGATTTGCAAGTATTTTTTCCCACTTGGTGGATTGTCTTTTTGTTTTGATTCTAGTTTCCTTTGCCTTGCTGAAGGTATTTAGTCTGATGAAGTTCCACTTGTTTATTTTTTCCTTTGTTTCCCTTGTCTGAGAAGACATTGTATTTGAAAAGATCCTTTTAAGAGTGATGCCAAAGAATGTGCTACCTATATTTTCTTCCAGAAGTTTTATGGTTTCAAGTCTTACCTTCAAGTCTTTGATCTGTTTTGAGTTTATTTTTGTGCATGGTGTGAGATAATGGTGTACTTTCATTCTTCTGCATGTGGCTGTCCAATTTTCCCAACACCACTTATTGAAGAGACTATCTTTTCTCCATTATATGTTCTTAGCACCTTTGTGGAAGATTAGCTGTCTGTAGTGTGTGGTTTATTTCTGGACTTTCAATTCTGTTCCATTGATCTATGTGTATGTTTTTGTACCAGCACCATGCTGTTTTGATTACTATGGTTTTGTAGTACATTTTGAAGTCTGGGATTGCGATGCTTACAGCTTTGTTCTTTTTTCTCAGGATTTCTTTAGCTATTCTGGGTCTTTAGTTGCCCTATACGAATTTTAGAATTCTTTGCCCTATTTCTGTGAATAGTGTCATTGGGATTCTGATTGGGATTGCATTAAATCTGTAGATTGCTTTGGTAGTATGGACATTTTAATTATGTTTATTCTTCTGATCCATGTGCATTTAACATCCTTCCATTTCTTTATGTCGTCACTGATTTCTTCCAATGATGTCTTACAGTTTTCATTGTATAAGTCCTTCACCTCCTTGGTTAAATTTATTCCAGATATTTTGTTCTTTTTGTTGTGATTGTAAATGGAATTGTATTCGTGAGTTCTCTTCCTGTTGGTTCCTTATTAGAGTATAGAAATGCAACTGAGTTTTGCAAGTTGATATTGTACCTGCAACTTTACTGTGGTTGTTGATTATTTCTGATGGTTTTCCAATTGATTCTTTAGGGTTTTCTATATATAAGACCATATTGTCAGCAAACAGCAAGAATTTCTCTTCTTCATTTCCTATTTGCATTCATTTTTTATTCTTTCTATTGCCTAATTTCTTTGGCCAAAACCTCCAGCACAATATTAAATAAGAATGGTGATAGTGGGTACCCTTGACTTGTTCCTGTTCTCAGAGGGAAGGTGTTCAGTTTTTCCCCATTGAATATGATGTTGGCTGTGGGTTTGTCATATACGGCCTTTATTATGTTGAGGTAATTTCCTTCTATCCTCATTTTGTTAAGAGATTTTTTTTTTTTTATCATAAATGGCCATTGGATCTTATCAAATGCTTTCTCTGCATCTATTGAGACGATCATGTGGTTCTTTTTTTTTTTATTGAGTTGATAGGTTACAAGCTTGTGAAATTTCAGTTGTACATTAATGTTTGTCATTTGTGTTGTAGGTGCACCACTTCACCCTTTGTGCCCACCCCCCACCCCACCTTTCCCCTGGTATCCACTAAACTGTTCTCTTAGTCCACATTTTTAAATTTCTTATATGAGTGGAGTCATACACAGATTATTCCTCTCTAGCTGGCTTATTTCACTTAACATAATTCCCTCAAGGTCCATCCATGTTATTGCAATTGGAATGATTTTGTTCTGTTTTGCAGCTGAGTAGTATTCCATTGTATAAATGTACCACATCTTCTTTATCCATTCATCTGTTGTTGGGCACTTAGGTTGCTTCCATGTCTTGGCCATTGTAAATAATGCTGCAATGAACATTGGGGTACTTAGGACTTTTGGGATTGCTGACTTCAAGCTCTTTGGATAGATAACCAGTAGTGGGATGGCTGGATCATATGGTAGTTCTAATTTTAATTTTTTGAGGAATCTCCATACTGTTTTCCATAGTGGCTGCACCAGTTTCCATTCCCACCAGCACTGTATGAGGGTTCCTTTTTCTCCACAACCTCTCCAACATTTGTTACTACTAGTTTTAGACATTTTTGTCATTCTAATGGGTGTAAGGTGATATCTTAGTGTAGTTTTGATTTGCATTTCCGTGATGATCAGCGATGATGAGCATCTTTTCATGTGCCTATTGGCCATCCGTATGTCTTCTTTGGAGAAATGTCTGTTCATGTTTCCAGCCCATTTTTTGATTGGGTTGTTTG